TCCCAGCGGCATGTGGTCAGGCACTGGTGGGTCCCCGGGACAGCAGTGGGAGCCGCACCGCAGAGCCACGTGCTGGGAGGGCGGCTGGCAGTGGACATGGCTCCCAGGGTCCCCAGAGACCGGCTGGGAGTGAGGCCGAAGCTCAAGGCCTCCACCTGGTGCCCCCTGAGGCCAGGCGGTTCCTCGTGCCCCAGTGACTCTGGTCTCTGGAGGCCGACCAGCTGCCAGGCCAAGGAGCGGCCGCCCTCTGGCCTCCGGGACGACACCTGCTCCCCAGGAGGCCAGGCGCAGGGCCGGGCAGAGCCTGAGGTCCAGGGAGCTTCTCTTTGTCTCTCTGTCTCCCTTCCTCTCTCTGTCACCAGTGAACATGTTCTCGGTGAGGGCAGAGCAGAGGGAACGGGGCATTTCATCGGTGTGGCTGCATCGCGAGCCCATCACTATCTGGGGGCCGCCCGGAGGGCACACCTGCAGGACCAGCTGCTGGTGGAGTCCCCGATCCTCTGGAGGACTTGGATCTTCTTTCCCAGTCAGGAATTCTAGCCAGGGGCCTGGCCGGTGTGGTTCAGTGGTTGGGCACCGTCCCAGGCACCCAAAGGTTGCGGATTCAATTCCTGGTCAGGGCACATACCTGGGTTGGGGGCTCGATCCCCATGAGGGGGTGTGCAGGAGGCAGGTGATAGATGTTTCTCTTTCATTGATGTTTTTCTCTCTCCCTCTCCTTCCCTCTCTCTGTAAAAGTCAATTTAAAAATTAAAAGAAAAAGAATTCTGGCAACGTAGTGACATCTGTGGTGAGGCTGTGGGCACGGCACAGTCCCTGATGGGAGCGTGAGCGTGAGCATGAGTGTGAGCGTGCCTGGTGTTTACAAGCAGAAAACGTGAAGCGGTGGTTTCCTTTCCAGGCCTGAACTCCCGGGAAGTGCTCGTGTACAAGAACTGCACGAACAACTGCACGTTCGTCTATGCGTCCGAGATGCCGCCCCCAGCACCCAAGGTCCTGAGGACCAACAGCTTCTACTGGGTGAGGTGCTGCGGCGTCATGAGCTGCAACGTGGGGGGGCCCACCAACATGGAGCGCGACATCCTTCCCGACCAGACCATCGAGGAGGAGCTAGAAGGGGCCGTGCGCCTGGGGGGCTGGGGGCTCTGGGGGGCCCTCCTGAGCTGCGCCTCCATCCTCGTGAGCAGCGCCCTGACGTGAGAAGACCTTGCCTCGGTGACCGGGTCCCCCCCTACCCCCCACCCCCATTCCTCAGAGCAAGTTCACTCCCCTTTGCTGTCTTGTGAGCCAGAGACCCTGACCCTCAGGCCCCCGCTGGCCAGTTGCCATTCACAGCGAGTCACCCAGTTGCGGAGAGAAATACAGGGCTTCTGTGGAGCTGGTGTTGAGAAGCGTGCTTCCCTCTAACATCCCGCACACAGGCCACACTTTCTCCCAACAAAGCCCAGCAGCTGCAGGGAGGGTGTCCTGGAACAGGGTCCCAGCCGCGCAGAGCTCAGGCCCCTCGGCCCCTCACCGTCCTGCGGGTCTGGGCTGGGCAGCCGAGCAGAGCCTGTGCCTGGCGCCAGGGCCACTGCCCTGCGGACTGCCCTGCGTCCCTGTGTGGGTCACCCAGCTCTGCGGGAACTGGTCGTGTTCCCGCAGTGACGGCTGAGTAGGGCGAGGGACCCCAAAGCCGCTGCGATGGCCTGGAAACACGGGGAGTCTGGCTGCTGCCGCCACTGCGGCCTCCTGCTGCCTGCCTCCCCGCCAGTTCTCTAAATTGCTGCCTGACTTTAATTCTGGGACCACAGCCACAGCACAAACTCAGCATCTAACAGGGTGGGACTCGGCATTTTAGCATGTTCACCAGGTGCCGCCATCACTACTCAGGGCAGGACACTTTCACCCCAGAAAGAACCCTGCCTCAAATATGCAGCCCCCCTGCTCCCCAGCCGGGCACTGAGCTGGGCTGGGTCTCTGGAGCTGGGTGCCCGGCTCTGGGCAGGTTCCCAGGAGCCGTGTCTGCAGGGGAGGAGGGTGGAGAGAGGTGGGAGAGGAAGCACCACTCCCAGCAGGACCAGCGGGGAGGACTCCTATGGAGGTGGAGACGCCCAGAGTCACCCCGAAGGCAGGAAAAGCAGGGGCGGTGTAAAGGCACCCACCTGAGTGGGGCTCTCACCCCGTGGCCCTGAGGCCTGCGGCAGCCTCTCCAGGGTGGTGAGGGTCAGAGCAGGAGGCGGAGTGCCTGCGGGGGAAGGACCCCTGGCGGGGGTAGGGCGTCAGCCTGGGACCCTGTCCTGATGAGGGAGACGCTGCAGCTGCTGGTCCTTAGCTCGTCCTCCCAGATCCCAGGAGTCAGGAGAGCACGGACTCTACTGCACGAACTTGGGCTTCACCCCCAATGTCCCCAGTGCGGGGACTCACCCATTCTCCCCCGTGCTCTGTCCTGCCTCCGGACCTGGGGCCCAGTGTGCATCACAGCCTCAGCATTCTGGGCAACCCCGGCCTTTCCTGCAATTAGGATTTGGGGTGTGGGGACCCCTCTTCTCCAAAGCCATGCTCGGCTCCCAGGCCTAGGACCGGAGCACGGATTGGCCCGGGGTGTGCGGCGCCAACTCTGCGTCAGTGCGCAGGGCAGGTGAGCAGGTGACAGCTTGGACTCTGACCCGCAGAGGACCCCGCAGAGGGGGTCTCTGGCCCGGGTCTCCGATGGGGAGGATGGAAGGGGTCGCAATGCTCATTGAAGGATGGGTCTGGGGGAGGAGGCGCGGTGCAGGGGCTGGAAATAGGCACGGGGCGCGCTCGCCCCTCCTGCGCCCCTAGCGGCCGGGCCAGGCACTGCCGCGGGCTGCGCTTAAAGGGTGTGCTGAGCAGAACGGGGACCCAGGTGGCTGGGCTGGGAGGGAAGGTGGAGGCGAGTCTGTTACTGTTGCAAACGGTAGACACCCAAGGTCGGGGAGAGATTCTAAAATCAGGTGTGAACACGAACCAAGGAAATCGCGTTCAAAAAGGATCCGACCCGGCCCGCGTGGCTCAGAGGTTGAGCGTCACTGGTTCGATTCCCGGTCAGGGCACAGGCCCAGTTTCTGGCTCCATCCCCAGTGTGGGGCGTGCAGGAGGCAGCTGATCCATGATTCTCATCATTGATGTTTCTCTCTCCCTCTCCTTCTCCCTTCCTCTCTGAAATCAATTAAAATATATTTATAAAAAATGGATCCAGGGTCCCCAATGGGGAGCCCCTGCACAGTCCCCTGACAAGCAGAGGCAGCTACATCGGGGCTCCAGCAGGAAGAGGGGAGTTCCTCCTTGCCAGCCGGCCCAGCGGGGGCCAAACCCTCGCCAGGACACCCAGACTCTCCAGTTCCCGCCCACAGGCCTTGGGGCTCAGTTCAAAGCCCCTCCCACTTCCTCCTTTTTCTCTGTAAACTTCCACCTGTGTTTGCAGAACTCAGTTTTTGGGACAGCATGCTTGTTCCGGATTACACTTCTCTGCTATTCCCTAGCAAACCCCAAATTAGACTGGGTGTGTGGGGCAGGCTGGACTGTCCCAGGCTCACCCTGCAGGCCCCCGGCTGCTGGGACACCCCGTTTATCCAGTTTGCCGCCTCCTGGGTCCTGGGGAGTATCAGCTGCCCACGCTCAGGAACATGCGCGTCCTGCATCCTGGCTCCTTGCTGCCCAGACAGTCACCCCTGGGGACCCCGAGAAAATTACCCCCGCTCTCCTCCCCGACCCAGCGCCTCCTCTTAGAGGCTCCAGGAGGGAAGTGGGCAGGCGGCTCCTGTGCGGGGCGCACGCAGAGGCCGCACCCTGAGACAGCACAGCGAGGCTGGCGCTCTCCCAGCTGCAGGGGGCGGGAGGCAGCGGGCAGAGAACAACTCCCAGCAGCCCTGCTGCTCAGGCCACTGGCTTCCCACCAGCCGGACACCCAGCAGCCAGGCCCCTGGCGAGGGGCTCTGTGTCCTGAGCGGGCAGGTTCTCCTCTGTGTCCCCCACATGCTGGTCACAGGTCTGAGACTAGGACAGCTTCCATGGCCAAGGCTCAGGCTTCACAGGGGACCAGGGCGGGACTCAGAGTGTGATCAGGGTCAGGGCTCAGAGTGTGAGCAGGTCGGGGCTCAGCGTGTGACCAGGGTCAGGGCTCAGCGTGTGACCAGGTCGAGGCTCAGCGTGTGACCAGGGTCAGGGCTCAGAGTGTGCAGGGTCAGGGCTCAGAGTGACCAGGGTCAGGGCTCAGAGTGACCAGGGTCAGGGCTCAGAGTGACCAGGGTCAGGGCTCAGAGTGACCAGGGTCAGGGCTCAGAGTGACCAGCGTGTGAGGGTCAGGGCTCAGAGTGTGACCAGGGCAGGGCTCCGAGCTCTTGGTGTATGTAGGCACAGAAGCACCCCTGCCTGACAGCAAGGGGCCTGAGTGTAAATTATGGGTCCCCCGTCCCTGTCTCCAGCACGGAAAGGAGGGAGGGAGGGAGGTGAGGGAGGGAGGGAGGGAGAAGGGGCCGAGGCAGGGGAGGCAGGAGCAGGGCTCAGAGTTTTTACCTGTGGTCAAGGTCTCTCAGTGGAGGGATGGAGCGCTTCTAGGCTGGCAGGACCCCGTGACCAGGGTCAGGGCTCAGCGTGTGACCAGGGTCAGGGCCCAGCATGTGACCAGGGTCAGGACTCAGAGTGTGAGCAGGGCAGGGCTCCGAGTTCTTGGTGTATGTAGGCACAGGAGCACCCCTGCCTGACAGCAAGGGGCCTGAGTGTAAATTCTGGGTCCCCCGTCCCTGTCTCCAGCACAGAAAGGAAGGAGGGAGGGAGGTGAAGGAGGGAGGGAGGGAGAAGGGGCCGAGGCAGGGGAGGCAGGAGCAGGGCTCAGAGTTTTTACCTGTGGTCAAGGTCTCTCAGTGGAGGGATGGAGCGCTTCTAGGCTGGCAGGACCCCAGCCCGGGCCGCAGCCCCACTTCCCTCCCCTGCCCTACACACGCCTGGGTGGGGCACTGGCTCCCTCTCTGCCGCTGGAGAACCGACCCAGCGCTAGGCGGAGGGGCGGGGGGGCACGGTTCCTCACAGCCCGGACCAGAGTCTGGGCTCCACTGGCGAGCACCCAGCCTGTAGAAGGGCGAGTCGCAGGTGCCTGGCTAGCATCAAGGGCGGTGCACCCTCCCCCAGCCCCTGGCGCCGGGGCCTCCCCGGGGGCTGCAGAGTCTTTGTCCCTCAAATGCTCATTGAGCCCTGGCCGGGTTGGCCCTTGTGAATAGAGAGCATCCGCCTCCGGACCAAAGGGTCCCGGGTTCGATTCCGGTCAAGGGCACGGACCTCGGTTGCAGGCTCCTCCCTGGCCCTGGGGCCTGGTCCGGGCATGTACGGAGGCAACCCATCGATGTGTCTCTCTCACATGGATGTGTCTCTGTCTTTCCCCCTCTCTCCCGCTCTCCCCGACAATCGGGGAAACGTCCGTGAGGGACTTCAGGGGGCTCAGCACCTCTCAGGCTGCCCCGTGAGAGGACAACGCTCCCACAGACGCCCATGCAGACCCCAATTCAGGACACGCTGCGCCTGCCCGGAAGGCCCAGCCGACTGCCCTTGCGGGAGAGTTTGGGGAGCCCATCGCCTGGCTGGGCTGGTCCTACTCCTGTCCATGGGCTCCCCCTCTGCCCTCGAGGGTCTCCCCCTCCTCACCCCAACTTCAACATGTAGAGACACGGCCTGCGCACAGGGCCCGGGGCGGCACCTGGCCGGCCTCTGTGAATGTGGGTCTCCCACACCCCCACACACAGCCTCTCATCCCTGTGCCCCAGCACTGAGGGCCTGAGCCGGGCACTGCAGAGGGATCACCGAGGCCTGGCCTGGGGCAGGGGGGCCCCCAAG